GTTTTAAATATTTATTCGGGGATCTCGGCACGCAGCGCGATGTCGACCCAAATAAATATATGAAAGTATTTATTTATTTATTTTTTTTTTTGCAAAATTAATATTCTGGAGTTTTAAATATTTATTCGGGGATCTCGGCACGCAGCGCGATGTCGACCCGAATAAATATTTAAAATGCCCCCAGTTTTTTTTTTTTTTGCAAAATTGATATTCTGGAGTTTTAAATATTTATTCGGGGATCTCGGCACGCAGCGCGATGTCGACCCGAATAAATATTTAAAATGCCCCCAAATTTTTTTTTTTTTTACAAAATTGATATTCTGGAGTTTTAAATATTTATTCGGAGATCTCGGCACGCAGCGCGATGTCGAACCAAATAAATATTTAAAATGCCCCCATTTTTTTTTTGCAAAATTGATATTCTGGAGTTTTAAATATTTATTCGGAGATCTCGGCACGCAGCGCGATGTCAACCCGAATAAATATTTAAAATGCGCCCAGTTTTTTTTTTTGAAATGCATTCTTGTGTCACAAGAGAATCTTGAAATATATATGCTTTACATATGCTAGTGGGCATTTGTCAGATACACAACAAAATTTTAAATACATGTTGATTCCTATGTATGATACTTCTTCAAGTATCGATCGTTAATTGGGGGCATAGGCCTTTGACCATCCACGTCAATCAATTGATAAGCTCCTCCTAGGTACACATTCTCAATGACGAATGGGCCTTCCCAATTGGACACAAATTTTCCACCAATTTTTTAGTGTGGGATGATTGGCCTTCTCAGCACCAAGACCAATTCACCTTCTTGAAATGCTCGATGGCGTACCATTCGATCAAATGATTTCGTCATCCTCGCCCTATAAATATCCAAATTCTATTGAGCTTGTAGTCTGACTTCATCGAGTGCATCGAGTTCCTCCGTTCTTAATCGAGCATTTTGCTCCTGAGTCAGATCATACTGGATAGCTACACGAAGTGATGGTAGCTCAATTTCCAATGGCAATACAGCTTCAACCACAAACACCAGTGAGTAGGGAGTGGCTTTAGTCGGCATCTTATAAGTAGTACGATACACCCAGAGTGCCTCCACCATTTTAGTGTGCCACTCTCTTTTATTTTTGGTGAGGATCTTCTTTAACAGTTTTACCAGCGTCTTGTTAAAAGCCTCTGCCAAGCCATTGGCCTTTGGATTGTATATTGATGAGTATCGCCAATCGATCTTGTGAAGCTCAATGAACTTGTATATTTTAGTGCTTTTGAATGTTGTGCCGTTGTCTGAGATCACACGGCGCGGTACACCAAATCTGTAGACGATATTATGGGTGAAGAAGTTAATCACATGCTCGGACGTGACTTCTTTGAATGGGTTACTTCTTCCCACTTAGAAAAATAGTCCGTTGCTGCCAGTATGAAACGATGTCCAGCTGATGATGGTGGATCTATCGGTCCAATTATATCGGTTCCCCAACATTCGAATGGCCACGAAGCTACTGTTGGGTGTAGTGGATTTGGCGGCTGATGAATAACATCACCGTGAATCTGACACTCATGACACCTCTTAGCGTGGTCAATACAATTTGTCACCATTGTTGGTCAATAATAACCCATCCTCTTGATTTTAACGGCCATTTTAGGACCTGACTGATGTGCACCACAAAGCCCTTCGTGGACTTCTACCACTACTTTATCAGCTTCCTTGGCCCCTAGGCACCTTAGCCACATTTGGTCAAAAGCCCGTCGGTACAACGTGCCGTTGACAAATGCATATCGCAGTGCCCTTTTCCGAATTTGTGCGGCCATAGATTTTTCTGTCGGGAGTTTATTTTCTTTGAAGTAGTCAATGAATGGCTGCCTCCAATCATTTTCGACTTCAACATCTAAACAATGCCACCATGATTCTGAAGCTTGACTAGCTTTACGTCTCTTGGCCACATGATATTCTTCCGGATAATTTTCCATAACAATTTAATGGAGGGGTTGAGGCTCAACTGGAATTATATTCTGCTTGACTGGATTTGATATATCTTCTGCCAATGGGAATTGTAATAGAGTAGGCTCCAAGATTCGACAATTATAAACTCCGATGAATATAGGCTTCTCTTCATTGGTATTTGCCATCTCCTTGGCCAATTTGGCCAAACAATCTGCTTTCCCATTCTGTCCTCTAGGAACTCGAGCTATCTCAACATTTGGAAACTGTTTCAAAAGCTCAAGGGTTCGCCGGTGGTAATGAGCCAACTCAAGCTTGCAAATCTTATAAACCCCTAAGACTTGATTTATTACAAGTTGAGAGTCGCCAAAAATTCGAAGATTTTGAATTCTGACATCAATTGCGATCTCCAGTCTCACTATTAAAGCTTCATACTCAGCTTCATTGTTGGTTCGAGGTTCAGTTAGACTAAATGAAAATCTCATTATACCTCCTTCAGGGGCTATGAAAACAAGGCCGACACCGGCTTGTGCCCTAGCAAGATTTGGAGGTCGGGCAGCTTTAATTGATGATGCCCCATCAAAGTACATCTCCCAAAATGGTACTTTTTCATTTTCCTCAACTTGCATGATTTGTTCATCTGCAGATCATCATTAAGTGGAGAGTCTGCCGGGATAGGATGTGCGGCAAGAAAATCCGCTAAGACTTATTCTTTCACAGCCTTTTGTGGTAGGTACGTGATATCAAACTGCAATAATAATACTGCCCATCTAGCCAGGCGACCTATCAACGCTGGTCTTGTCATCAAGAACTTCAGCGGATCGATCTTTGATATCAGTGTGATTTTGTGAGACAGCATGTAGTGGCAAAGTTTCTGAACTGCAAAAATCAACTCTAGGCAATGCTTCTCAATTGGAGAATAGCAGATCTCTGCTCCAATCAACCTCCGACTGATATAATAAAGTGCATTTTGTTTTCCTTCTTTGTTATGCTGGGCCAGCAATACTCCGAGGGATTCTTCTAAAGCTGTTGTATACAGTATAAGAGGCTTCCCCGAGATTGGTGCTGCGAGAATGAGCGGATTCAACAAGTATCTTTTGATGCTGTCAAACACTTCCTGACACTCAGCATCCCATCTGAAGCGAACATCTTTTTTCATAAGCTTGGAAAATCGCTGGCACCTACCTGAAAGATTTGATATAAATCGTCGAATAAAAGCCATTTGCCCTTGCAAGGAGCGGAGTTGTCGCAGGTTCCTCGGGGGTGGCATCTCCGTGATTGCTTTAATTTTGTTGGGGTCGACCTCGATGCCTCGATGTCGAACAACGTACCCCAAAAATTTTCAGGAGGAGACCCCAAAAGCACATTTGAGAGGATTCATCTTTAAATCAAACTTTTTGATTCTCTCAAATACAATTCTGAGATCTTTTAAGTGATCTTTTCGGCCAAGGCTTTTAATAACAATGTCATCTATATAGCACTCGACCATTTGATGTATCAAATCATCAAATATGTGAGTCATCGCCCGTTGGTAGGTGGCACCAGCATTTTTCAGGCCAAAGGGCATGACAGTGTAGCAGAATATACCGATGGGCATTCTAAATACTGTATGCTTCTCATTTTCAGGTGCCATCTTGATCTGGTTGTAGCCCGATGATCCATCCATAAATGAGAACATATCAAAATTTGATGTACTATCCACCAAGAGTTAGGACACAAGAAGCGGAAAGTCATCTTTTGGGCACTCCTTATTAAGGTCCCGGAAGTCGATGCAGATACGAATTTGACCATTCTTCTTCTTTACTGGTACAATATTGGCAATCCAGTCAACATATTTTTCTTCTCGGATGAAGCCTGCCTCTATGAGCTTCTTGGTTTTGACAATCAGCTGTTCTTCTATCTCCAATCTCATTCTCCTTGGAGCTTGTTTGACAGGCACTGCCTCATTCTTGATGGCCAACCTGTGAACTGCCACATCAAGGGATAAGCCTGGAATCTCAGCATATGTCCAGGCAAAGCAATCCCTGAATTCACAAAGCAGTTTTTTCATTTCTTCTACTTAATCTTCTGGTAGTAGGGAGCTAATGAAGGTCGGGCGAGGATCCTCCTCAGTCCCCAAATTTATCTCCCTTAATTAATCCATAGTAGCCGCTTGTCCACCATCTTCAAGTTCTTCAGGTGCAGGCTCAGCCTCTACGGGCTGATCCTCATAATCGTCAGCTTCATAAACCTCTTCAGTATTATCATCATCAGATTCAATTTTCCTGCCTGTAATGGCACGACACGTCTCCCCTTGGGAATGTCTTTGCATAACAAATCCGAGACCTCTTCTAGCGAAAATATCTTTTCTTTGCAACATATGGGGATTTCTTCGATACCAGAGTTTCAAGCAAAGATGAAGTTGTTGCATAGGGGGGCGAATTCCAACTTGTTTTTGCAACATCCTTCATATATTTTTTGTAATAAATATGGGCATTCTTGTAGGCACTAACTCCCTACGTTCGGTGGGCCTATAGAACCAATCTCGATTCTCTTCATCTCCGCGCTCACCAGATTTATAAAATAGGGTTCCCAATCCACCCTTATTTCTTCGAGGAGGTACATAAAATATTACATGTTCCTCGACATTATGCACCTCTCGAGGGATGATTTCTTTGAAATGCTGTAAGGGGATGCGCGTGACTACACATTCATTATCTGAAATTGAGAGATTATCTATCCTCTTTGAAAGTACATGTTGCACATTATTCATGTAGATAGACTCGTAATCATAGTCATCATCTGAATATCTTGCCTTCTTTTTGCCCCTAACAGTTGATTGGCATATTTTCTGAGATTTAACAGGTATGGCATCATCTTCATCTGTGTCACTCCCTAGATGAGGCACATTTTTTCTTGACTTAGGAGTGATTGCTGCTTTGGGAAGAGTCGGCGTTGCCTTCTTTCTTCCCACCTGCTTCTTCTCATCTTCTTGTTTGGGCCGCCTTACATCCTTTGGGTTTGCTGCCTTAGTTTCGAGAGAACTTGACGGCTTTAATTCTTTAGGGATGAAGTATCTAGCATCTTCATAAATTTTCATCTCATGAACAGCAAAGGGCTGAATGTCACCGGAGATTCTGAACTCCTCTCCTTCTCTGATATACTTCATACACTGATGCAGTGCTGATGGGACAATACCATAATCGTGCAACCATGGGCGACCCAGAAGCGCCTTAAATGAGGTGTCCGCATCAATCACATCAAATTTTGCCTCGGTATGAAGTTCCCCAAATAATAGAGGGAGCATGAATGATCCAAGGGTCTTCTGCCCCTTTTCATTGAAACCGTGCACCATCAATTTGTCTTGCACAAGGTTCTGTACATCGATACAAAGTGATCTCAGAGCTTTCAAGCTCATAAGGTTAATGGAGGATCCAGGATCTATCAAAATTTGATTGATTATCATCCCATCACTTTCTGCAGTGACATATAAATGCCGATTATGGTCTGCCATTCCGAGCATCCTATCATCCTCAGCAAAAGTAATGATTGGCTCATTCCGAGCTTGCAAGACATCAGTCAAGTTACGCTCAGCAAAATAAGCCTCATATCTTTCAGGGTCCCTGAGAGCCTGAATCAGGGTCTCCCGAAGATCTTTGGACATCATTAGAGCATCGTATATGCTAAGCTGTGCTGGGATTTTTCTCAAATGGGATAGGATATTGTAATCTACCCCTTTAGTTGGAGTCTCCTTTTTCTTGGAGTCCTTAGGAATAATTTCTTCATTGACGATAATCTCTTTCCCTTTATCTTTATCAGAAATCCCTTTCTTTGGTGGAGACGATAGTGCTATACCATTTCTTAACTGCACCTGGGCGATCTCCTCCTGCTCTGACCCATTTAACGGTACATTATCTTCAGAATCGATCATTGCCTCATTTGGAGATTAGTCTGTTGATTCAGAGCTGCTGCCCAAATTCACCTGTTCCATCTACGAAGTGATATCAGGCTCTGATTCATCATCTTCTAGAAAATACAAATCCTCTTGTACACTGTAATCCATTGGTAATACCATCATACAGAACTCAGAGGGTGCTTCTTTTTCCTTTTTGGCTCGAGTTACCAGTATTGTTGATATAACTCGATAAGTTTCCATGGGAAGTGTATCTTCATAAGCTTCTTTTTCTTCTTCAATTTTGAGTTCTGCCATAAAATCAGGCAGCTTAATGGGGCGTCTGACAGTCTGATAGTATTCATCTAAACTATCAATAACCCTTTGGGTTGCTGTCTTTTTCTCCCTAGGCTTCTTCAACTTGGTCTTCTTCTTCGAGGATTTCACCTTCCCAGACTTCGAAGTACCAGCTTGGTTAAGGAGTTGCTTAGAATTGGACGCTCGCATTGCAGGTAGTGCTTTGAGATCTATCACTGGCTCTGTGGGAGACTTCCACTTCACACCCGAAGCACCCTCAAGCTACTTCAGCATCTTCACTGTTTTCTTAGAGACTACAGTCTCCCACCGTTCTTCTTGAATCAACTTCTTTTCCTTTCTTTTTTCTTCAACCGAGGGTATGGTGGAAGTTGTAACTACCCGGGTTGATTCTTTTCTAGGATTAACCAACACATTATCTGATAATGTGAGCTCTCCCTTTTGATATTTCCTTTCAACCCAATCCTTGAAGATATAGCAATCTTCAATGGGATGGCCCAGCACTCGGTGATACGGGCAGTAGTTCGGGTCACCAGTTTCTTTTGACTCCTCTGGCCTCTTGTACTCTGGGAGTTCTAGGCCTGCTTTTAATGCTTGTCGAAATAACTTTGCGACACTCTCTCTTTTGAATGGATATTCTTTATTCATTTTATCTTTGAGAGATGGGAACGTTCTATCACCAGT